CGCGTCTGGATAGCAGCCTAATCGCCTGGTGCGGTTGACCAAGCCAGAAAAAGTCAACGAACATGCGAGCCAGCTCTTTATTGATCACCGTCGCGTACTAGTGGGTCAAAATGTGATACTAAGACTACAACTCATCCGTCAAAAACGAGTGAAGAACAACCAATGAAATCTGTATCAACGAAAACGGTTATTCCATTGGCAGTTATGTAGTCCCATTACGTTAGGAGGTGGTTCTCCTAATACATGTAATGCACCACGCCGAGTTCACCTCATCCTCCAAACAATCATGCAGTCTACGATTTTCACCGATCTCTTGCACCTCCATGATTTGAACTACCGTATCGCACATGCTCACCCAACCTTCAGGGTTGATTAGCTCCTCTTCCTAAGAGGTTTGCTGAGCCCCCTCTCAGAGACATTGACGCAACCTTCATCCTTCAGAAGAAGGAATCAGTCGAATTACTACTTGTTTGCAGTGTCTGCATTCATTTGGAAGACGCTGTTGTTGGCACTCCGGCATTTCAACTGTTCCCCAAGAACCAGATGCGGACTTGAATTTCAGCAAACAAGAACGTGAAGGACGTCAAGAAATTCGTGATGCTTCCCAATGAAAACAATGAATCCACTTATTTCTCTACATGCTACTTACCAATTCGCCCGTCCAAAGGCGAATTAACTAATTAATTAATTTTGGTGGACTGAATGTAGAATTTTTTGTATGTGTGCGTTTTGCCTTAATTTGTTTTGAATTGTTCGGGTTTTGTCCCATAATATAGATATGATTCAATTACGGTAATTATTGGTTTTGGCTAAATCGTCTAGTTGACGGACGTTCTCCAAACGCGACCCACGGGATGCTCCATATGGCAGCATTGTTTGTTGAATACAACATACTCTTTGACAACATATCACTTATACTGCTCGATGTTTGACTCGCTAAAGGGCTTCTTATTCCTCAGCGAGATACTTGAACAACATTAGATCTGAGTGTGCCTAATAGGTTTAAGGTTTGTAGTGAACGTGACACGTATTTCAGATATCGATCGTTTTTGATGGCTTTGCAGAGGTGTCTCTATAAGTGGGCACAGCCATTCTATTCTCAAGTTCTTTCGTTTTGCAATCCTACCTTCTGATTTCCTCAAGTAACCCACTAGCGGTATCTTTTGTACCAGTCTAGAACCAGTATCATTGATGGCCAGATGCCTTTTATACAATGCACCAAAGCATTTTGGTGACACCGATTAATGTTTAAAACGTGAAGCGGCCGGTGGAGTTGCTATTCGTATTGCGGTAAGGAGCTCAAGCACGAAATTTGAAAGCTAAGGTGGATAGAAGGTTGGTATATTCTGAACATAGGTAACCTGTGTGCGCCGCAACAATGCCAGGCCGCAAAAGAGTTCCAAGAGGGCCCTTCCTGCAAGTGCCGAGTCCGGGGGAACGGAATGCTCCAGAATGGCGGCAGAGCCGAGCTCAAACTGAAACAAGCATGCTCGTCGTCTCATGGGAACCGTATAAATGCCGCATCATTTCATCTGTTAATGTGCCTTCACAGCGCATTTTCGTGGCCCTTGATAGCAGTCCGAAAACAACCAATCAGCGCCCGTAGAACGAAAGTTCATCATAAGCACGCTGATGGCCTAGCACTGGCGATTATCGCATGAGGCACACAGTTATAAAACACAGCCTTCTTAGGAAACCAAAGTCCATAAGTGAGAGAAAGAAATAATGTGGCTGGAGCTTACTGGGTTTCTGAACGAAAAACGATAAAAACGGCACAAGACCAAAGATACTCCATACTCGGTATTGATCTCATCCGGCGGTCAATTGGATTGTGCCGAGTTACGCGAAAAGTCAATTTGTACTAACGAAGGTTTATCAGCAAATGCGGTAATATGGGTATAGTACCGGGGCTAAGCCGGTTAGCACATACCTTTGAGGAACCGCTAATTACAGAGGGTCCACACCCGAGGCAAGTTGAACACAGGGTGGAGAAAACCACGTTGTTTTTTTAAACCAGACGCGGGGTGAAACTTACGAAGAATGGCTTACATTCACGCCAAAGCACCACAAGTAGAAGGGGCAGAAAACAGGAGAGGCAGGACGGAAAATCACATTGTATAGAATGAGAATGGGAAGAGTGGATCGGCACCCAGTGTATATCAAAAGTGAGGGAGATACAGATGTGAGAGCAATAGAGCCGACACAGGCCTGGCTGTGGTACATTACGTTCGCCGCCTTCACTGCTTCAAGCTGCTCACAACACTGTTCTTTATGTTCTCAGCGCAGGGCAGTATGTTTGCCAACGCAAGGATTCGCATAAATAAATGCCTGATAGTGCTTTGAACTGGGTTCTAGAATGACCGTGGACAACCGTCGGAGGAAGGCCATTCCACAAAGATACTGCCCGAAACGAGAGGAAACTTGCCTAATGAATGTGTTCGTTCTGAGTGTGGAACTCTTACCATGTCCCCGCCGTGTGTTTGCTGGGTCAACGGCGAAAAATCTGTTGGCCAAGCTTTGTTCATTCAGGGCATAAGTGAGAATTAGGTCCCCTCGGAGAAGACGATAATTCAGGGGACTTCGGGCCGGCAGCAATTTTCGTAGCGGCTCGCTGGACACCCCGAAAGTGGGTGACGTCCTTCGTGCGTCCTGAGAAGATAACGTGATCGGCGTATTCAAGGAGGGTCTGACGTAGGCCCATGCGGGTAATACGGCAGAAGGTGAGCCGGATCATCCGTAAAATGGCGGGTGCTTTTTGCACCGATTCATCATGGTTTAGTTAGAAGGACGAGCTCGAGGATACTCACATACCCAAATCCATTTTGGCGTCTGTCCCCATGATGTTTTCCGGGCCTTCCTCATCATGCATTCGCTGAGTCCCCTCCAAATGACGTACGGACGCACTTTTTGTCATTCAGGGGAAGGGGCCAGTCCAACAAACACTGCTTCGCAGCGTCTCCGTCCAGTTGGAGGGCACTGTCATTGGAAATCCAGGATTTCAAGTCGTCCGCAAAAAACAGACATGAACTTGCAAGAACATCTGGAAGGTCGACGACGTAGACCAGACAGCAAGGGTCCCAGAACGGAGCCTTGAAGAACTCCTATGTAGACTAGTGTTGGAGAAGAGTAGGTAGAACCCGTCCTTGGCTTGGGTTAAGCTGTCCATAGACAGAACCATGTTTATCAGGCAAGAATGGTAAGGCTTATAGACCTGTAGCTACCAGGCAATAGTTGTTCACCAGTTTACCGTGACAATCGCTTCCCTCTAATAAGAGGAAAGGCGGCACTCATATGGAGACTGACGGAACACTAAGCATAAATGATTTGCCTGTGTAGACGACGTTTCCGTCAGGATCCTTGAATGGATGCCGCAGATGTGATAAACAAATTTTGGTCTTTTCAGGAGAAATTTGTTTCGAGCTAGCATTAAAGCACCCGAATTCTGCTCCATACCATCATCTGGACGCGAAGCCGCTTGTTCAGATTTCAAAAAGTTCTGTGTTCTAATTCTATCTCTTAGATTCTTTGAGATGGAAATCCTCCGCGAACCCTGTTTTGGACACTTTTGATGATGCAGTCGTTGGCGATCGGAGTATTTGGTGGTGAAGCCACGAGTATTTCGACTCCCCGCGCGGCAGCCTCAAAGGTTTTGGTGCCGAAAGCTTCGTGGATGGTTTCCCTCGAAACATATATGCGCCGATGAGCACCGGTAAGCCCGCGCTGATCGCGTGGTTTTCTGTCTTGCGGAACGCGAACGGGAACGTACTGACAGGTTTTGGCTTTGGTAGATAGGCTTGATAGTGCTTTGTTCTAGCGGAATGAGTGTACCCTAACGTCTGCATGTTGTGTGTCAACGACGGCAATTCAGTCATCAATTACGCCTTCGTCGTAACGTTATTCTTGCCAGAAACGCTACAACTGCCAACGGTGAAGTCACGTTACTGACCTTTAGAGGTTTAGCACTATTTTATAATGTCAGAAGAATCGGGGAAGTGGTTATGATCAACAAATGCGCGAGCGTATGCTGTTCATTGGCAACACCTGAAGAAATGTCACTTAATGTCCACAACAGACTGCTGCATAGCTTTACATGTAATGGCCCACCATGCTTCAACGTCGAATTTTGATGGAGTCCCAAAGTCAATTATCCACAGCGGAGCTGTGGAGACCTTTCTGGACATGGTCACCGCGCTAGTTAGTCCTTTATTCTTCTTTAAGGGTAGTTCATTCACGCACAAGTGCCAGACCATGTACACTTTCGGAAGACCTCTAACATGCCGAAATCTGTGGTAATTTGGGGCCACCGTGGGGTATGGAGAGGTCAGAATTGAGGTATTTTGGGTGTTACGGGCGAGAAGAAAGACAAGTAATCCTTTATTGAATGAAAAGATCTCGATCCGCGGGTGCACCCGAAATGTATTTGGATATTTATACTCTCTGCTTGCTAAATAATAGGCCTTGTCGTAAGCAGAGCGTGCATTTTAGAGTGCGATGCTTGGAAGCCTTAGTGATTTCTACTTCTGCCATTCGCTGGAACTTGATTGAGAATTTGAGAACCAGAAAGATGCTTCCAGTGGAGTTTCTGGCGGATGAGTAAAGTATGAGAGGCACTGTTAGTCGAACCCCCTTCATAAGCAGACAAGTTGGATGTTGGTCCAATGAGCCAAGCGACTAATAATGGTGGAGAAAGTGAATGTGTAAAAATACGATTAAAATGAAGCCATACAGCAATGTCCGTCTTCGTAAGTGTCGTGGACGCATCCTCAACCATCATTTTCTACGCGCAGTTGGTCTGCCGATGAGACAGCCAGTCCAAGACGTCCTCCACGTTTCAACGGGGAGGATGTAACAAACCCAGGACTGAGGTTAAAGGGTGCAGAAGGTCACTTGAGGCATCCAAGAACGTCAGGTTGTTGCGCAGATGTAGCACTCACATATAACTATCTACGAGCATAAGACTTCCTAACACTCTACACAGTCGTTGAACCTGAAGATCTTGACCTAGACATTGACCTTCAAAGTTGCAAGAAGTCAAATGTATAAGCGATTATCGCTAGCGCAAGGTGATCTTTTGGGTACTAGTAATTCCACGGTAAGTGAAGAAGTTTGTTGGATCGGCGATCAAAAGCGCATTCCACGAATACACAGTTTATTAAGAAAACCACCGAAACTCAGGGATATAAAGTGCGTGAATTGCCTGTTACGTCAGAATTCAGCTTAAGCAATAAAAAAGATCTTCATCATAACCTGGAAAGCAATTAGAATCCACGGAGCTTTGTCTGCAAACAAAATTGAAAGAATGGAATGCAGCACCTACGGAAAATTGTGTTTGTTGTGCATATATCTGGTTGAAATCCTGCTGGTTTTGTTTGACCTGCTGCAGCACCTTCAAATGTTCGAAGAGTGACGGCTGTCGAAGCAAAACAGTATCACTATCACCACAAATTTTCGATTTTTTATTTTTGTAACCTATGAAGAGTTCATCAAAGGCTCCGTAGGATTTCAACAACAACTAGAACATTAATTTGGTTCAAATGCACTGCGACAGCGTTTTTAAGTGTTTGTTCCAGTCGCACTCCGTCTTTGACCTAAGTGTAACGGTTTTAAATATATAATCTCCAATGAATTACGCGGTCTGTATATGTATGTGATACCTAAAGCGCCATTCGGCGATAATGTACAACTATGCAGTCGATAATGAGGTATTTAACGTGCATGTCCAATTTTTGTGGGACGAACTAACGAGAAACTGCTTAAGAGGTTGTGGTAATAGCATCAGCCCAAGCAGAAAATAGTTCCAAAAATCTCGAACATAATTATTCATGAAAGCTAGTTCGAACACCAATGAAAATCATATCTCAGCAAAAAATCGGATTGATCTGATGTACGCTGAGTTTGGTTTCCTAAAAGGGTACTTTTTGACACGGGTGCGTAGCAAACTGACGTGTACAATGCATGAGATGCCACAGTTGCACATAACTATACGTAATATTGAATAGAGGGACATATAATATCAACATGCGAAACCTTTACCTTCCTTCCTTCCCTCACGCGGCTCATAGAACTGCTAACAACTAGAAGGCGGGATTCAAACTCCATACGTTTCTGGATAGTTTGAAGCAGACCAAAACTGTGGCACCCCATGATTTATGACTGCAAATGCAGCGACAAACGGTGTGGACGCACTGGATGACAATGTATTTAGGTACCGGGCTGACCTTGAAAAGTGTACTGCCCAGTGGAAGCACTGCCATGGTGACAGAAACTTTGATGTCAGAGGACGGTACAGACGAAAAGTCACTGTTGCACCGCACTGCGGGCACTTAGGAAGGAGCAAATTTTCAGAATACTGGCCAAATGTGTTACTTGGTGAAGGTCCTGACTTGAGAAACTTTCCTAACGCCACCACATACCACAACAGAGAGGAGACTTTTGAACAGAATGGCCGTAAAATGATGATTATAAGGATGGAATGTCGGGCGATTGCACTGATTGAGCCTTATGGAAGACGGACTACTCGCGATTGTGTGGAGTGCACTGATGTAATTGGAAGCAGGTCAGCTAAAAAACAAAATTCCTATTTGATTTGAGATCTGCACAAACACTGCAAAATGGCTATAAGTTTCCTTTCGGAGAGAAGCAAGGTGATAACACAGTAAAATCTTTCAACTTGCAACAGGACGCATTGGACAAAGAAAACTAGGAGAAATGCTTCTGATTTTCTAGAAGACAACGAAAATTGGAGTTTTCGCAACAAGTATAAAATAACCCGAGATGACGGCGGCAAGGGAGGCCTACAAAAAGACTTCCATGGGATCCTACAAAACACAGTCCAAACCGACCTAGGTGACACAGCGCGATTTTGAAAAATATACACGCTGCCAATGAACGCTTACGCCTAGGGTGCCTTGGTACACGGAGCAGGATGGGCATGTTCGGAGTTGAGTTTGTTTAAGTTGAGAGCGTTGACGTAGACTTCATGTGACACTGCAGTACACAAAGTTAATCTCAAAATTTATGCATTAATGTAGCAGGCACGCAATGAATACTACGGAATGCTTTGAGTACTCACGACCCCCCAAACAATAAACTCAACACTTTCTGGAATGTTGGACGCCGTTTTTCTCCGACTGGGAATCGCGCACGGTCACTTGACATACCTTTTCACCAAAATAAAGTGACTAGTTCTGGAACGAGGGCACTCGCTGCGCAGACAACTAACTAGAACCACATTTCACGAAATGGTGCCCAGTTTTTGACCAAATTAAATTACGGAAGCTGTGTAGGGCTTGACTGTGGTATTTCTTCCACCACATATTACCCTCATCAGGATTTGGGGTACAAACTCACTGCATAGAGAATGGACGGAGCATTCACCAAGTGACTTTTGAAGCGTACAAAAGAGGAGTAGAACAAACTGTTAGAGGTGACGGTTTAAATTAAGAACGTCAAAATATTCCAGTGTCTGTTTGTTAAGAACTTTACAACAGCCATCACTAGGGAGATGATAAAACAAAGGGCTTGATATGTACAACATACTCATCATGCTAAGGCAAATTTGGAACAGAAACTGCTGTCTTGAATTAGTAACCAGAGATTTTATAGATGTTATTTCTTGCTAGATAAAAATCCACCTCCACTAAGAATGACAGGAATGTAAACAGAAAATTATAGAATAAATCAGAACACATTTTCAAAAAAACTAACGATTTTTAATTTTTAACTTGAAGGACATAAATGCCTGATCTCCAACAGGTTGTCTGATCAACGCGCTAAACCCGCCACCGGGGAACTCATAGTAGCTTTAAATAAAACAACCTCTCAATACACAATAGCAGTTACAATTATGCACGTTTGAGAAAATCGGAGCTAGCACCCTCCACATCCATCATTTTCGTTCTTTTTAGGCAGTATTTGTAACCATGCATCTTAATGGCTCTAAATAGCTCTAGCGTAAAATCAGTGAAATCCAAGAATAAGCTATTTTCACGGTTTGCGTTAAAAATGTTCATACTACATCAGCTCAATGCCCGTACAACCATAAAGCTTTTTGAGCTTCAGGCGTGCTGTGACTGTCAGAACATATGGCATTAGTTTCTTAACAGATGTGAGAGGGCAATTCTTAGATATTATCACAATTAATAACATTTGGGTTGGCATAATCTTGTGGCAAAATCACTTGGAATATTATCGCAGGCATCAAGTTTAAATGACTGTTTGCAGATAATTGATGACATTTCTCTGGTGCTATTAAGTTTTTAAGCTTGAGACTTAGATAATTCATGATCACTAGGCGAACCATGACATAAGGTGTCGAGGAGTTTTGTTCGTTAAACAGGAGAGAACATTCGGTGCTCGTCCGGCCAAAGTGTTTGATTTAGATGTTTTTCTTTACCAACACAGGTTTACTAATTTTGTTTCGCGTGGAAGAAAAATAAGTTTCAGCCACAATTTAAATTCGGATTTCTACTGTGGCCAAAAGATTAAATCTTTTCTCTGTGTAGTTGTCAACCAAAATTATTTCTCTATCTTTGGTCCCAAGCTTTGCAGCTCGTACAAACTGCGATTAAAGGCAACAGCATCTGATCCTGCGGTCCCAAGATGCTTTTATTATACCGAGGTTACATTCGATATCGTTTCACAGATTGCTTGGTTATAACCATGTGGCACTGCATAAAATGTTTTATATGTTCACACAGAGGATTTGCGTGACTTGCTATGGTTTGAAGTGTGTATCTCTGGCAATTTCATTGCTGCTTGTAACTACCAAATGCCGCGCTAGCTGATCAGAACAATCTTGCCTGCGTCACATCATTTGCAGTTCAAACAAAACCTTAGACATACATACTATCATACTGAAGCTATTATAGTCGTTCATTATAGCCGTTCAGCCTTTCAAACGGGCGCAGTGCAAATCTAGCTTCCACAAATCTGTAAAAAATAATAGCATATATTAAATTGCACTCATTCGCATACCAATTTGGTTTTGATAAGAGACCCACCAGGAATCCGGCTGAACCTCTCGTTTTTGGTTTGCGGATAGAATGTAGGTGAATATCGTTACAGACGTCTTATAGAAGCTAGTGTGAGTCAGCTCTACAAGATCACTGGTGGTGTGTCAAATGCGATATTTATAATCATTAAAGTCACATCAAACCGACAATATAATCTGGGCTAATTGCCTACAGAATACAGCATTTGTTGCAAACCTCGTCACAATTTTTCATGCTAGCCAAAATATCAGGAAGGCCACAGAAATGCAAAAAGCTTCACTGCTCCCGTAAAATTTATTCTTCAGCTTATTCCAGTTGACGCAGCTGTGTTAATTCCAATGGTTGCACTTGCCGTGCACTGCAACGTTCTTGTAGTACAATCTACGAAGCAAGCGTGTAAATAGTCAGTAGCTTGGTTATCAGGCGAGTGAATGTACTGAGCTACGCAAACAACAACAAAGTAATGAATGAATGAACAAATAAACTTCTTCAGTGTGGCTTACCATGGTCTACGGTGGCCTATATTTCTCTACTAGTCGTATTTCCGTCATTACTATCACCAGAAGGGGCTATTAGGAACATGTCACCATTTGTGGCTCACTAGCTGTCTGTTGTATCCAGTAAACTCATGCAGTACTACAGCAACATCGGTGATCAGAAATCCAAAACAAAATTTCCGTCTTTAATTAGAGATTGCAGGACTTAAAGCTACAAAACAAGGCTATGCGTTGGAACGTTTTCTGTACACCATATTGATACTTGTTTATAACACCAAAGATGATTCACTTTTGCGAATTCCCCCCTCTTAAGGATGTGTGCTTTGCCTCCACCTAACAAGGTGCGGTAGTGACTTGCATCGATTTCAAGTTCGGATTTTCTGTTTGCGTACTCAAACTACACACTTATACTATTCTAGTCTCTCACGAACTAAGAGTAAAACTGGCACAATTAGGGGTAATATAAAAGAGAATGGTTGGAGATATTCACATAAAAACACCATTTATTTTGTCCATTTGTTGCACATCCACAGTTGCTTTAATCGGCCACACAGAAAACGCTACCGCTGGAGTTCAGTGGGCATTTCAGAAACAAGCCATTG